TATGCGGCCCGCGCTCGTCATTCTCTCAGTTATTTGGCCCGCTGTGTATGTTCTGTAGAAGTGAAACCAGCAAAAGTGTCGACATTCCTGTACCAATATAGTGGGGATGAAGCACATAATGTATGGCTTGTGTTTCGATCTGGGTTATGAATATATTGGCAAGAACGGGTGAAACAGGATTGCTCATAGTTAAACCATCTATTTGAAGGAAATGTTCGTTGTTGAAAACAAAGTTGGTTTTAGTTGTTGTAAATTCTAAGAGAGAAGCAAAAAGTGTGCTGGGGGTGTGGATTAACTTGTTGGGGTCATTAATGTTGAGGTCGATTGCGATATTATAAGCGTCACTGTTTATTCATCTCTGAATTTATCATTAAAAAGACACAGACACCTACTGTAGAAGAATCCTAAGCTTAACAACAGCATAGTATATATTTATACTATTAAGAAATATAACTAAAAGCCTTTTTATTTTGAGAATTGGCGAAGATCAGATTTTTAAATTCTGGTAGAAGTCAACAGTTCTTATTTAATAAGAAAAGTTAGATTTGGATATATTTACTGGCACCACTACATAGCTTGTCATTATCATTCAATGTAGGAACGACTGTAACCTAAAGACATCATTTGTGATGCCAACAATGGACATTATTGTTATTTATATTCTTGCACAACATACAGGTATTATCTCTAGAGAACAATAAAGGAATAAAGATAGCTAGAATGAAGTAAACTTAATGATTTTATGCAAAAACTGCATAGAGTGACGAAAAAATTAAATTTCTACAATGGAATGAAAAAGTAGAATATGCACTATGAATATGAATTATAACAATGACAATCAAATCTCACTATTGGGTCATATAAGAGCATTCCAAGATTTGGTGGTGGGTGCAATTCGCTAACTACATTCCCTCTAGTCTATCAATTTCAGCAAAATTAAGGACATCTTGCACACATAGCCTTTGAGTATCTTTGTGCAAATATGAGAAAAACAAAACTGGATGTTTAGATCACTATTTTATTCTATGCTTACATGAAGAGAGGCGACTGTGCCCAACAATTAATTTAAAATGAATAATAAAAAAAACATGTTCTTACAGGGGCATGGCTAGAGGAAGTTCTTGAAGGTGAACCAACAACATTTTTGGCCACAAGAAAATACTAATTCCATAAACCGCCATATTTACTACAGCTTAACAGCAAAAACAATATCTTTGGCATATCCATAACGTATTAAAATGTATTGAATAACCAGTAATTCCATTTCTCAACACAATGCGAATGGACAAGTAAAATGCAATTCTACACCACATTGATGGGGCACACATTGATGGGGCAAATGCCATACTTTGAAATAATTTTTTTGGCCATGGTAAATCCTTAATAGTTTCATTTATGCTTGAACAACTAAATATGCTTCAGAAAGCAGTTTTTTTTCACTCACACGTAGTTATTAGTTAATTTGATACAATGCTTAAACTGTAGGAATCAAATGATGGAAAGTCTACCTTATGTTATTCAAGGCTTAATAGTAATAAAAAAAGGTTTACACATAAACTTTAATTAATTCATTAATAACTAGTATCCATTTCATTTTTAAAGTTTGCATAACTTGTTCATCATGAAATTCTTGTCGTAACAAGTGCAGTTTTACGTGTGCATATATACATACATTAGATATATATGTGTATATATCTGTACACACAGAATGAGAGTTAAGTATATTATACTAAAATAGTTTTGGAGCCTCATCAAACAATTACAGGCCATGCTGCTATGATCGGTTACACGCTATTTGACTGTAAAGCGTCTTAACAATAGCCCTGCAGTATAGTTGCCATTACAAAAGGTTCCGTCATAAGACTGTCATGACCAAAGCACATCATCTCGTATGGGTCCAAGCTCCGAATATTTTAATTACCTAGCGACGCCTCTGGGTAACAGTACACAATATAATCAAGAAGGATCTTCATCTGGAAATGAGGTCAATATGGTATGGGTCCACCATCATAAGGCTTCCAGTCATACCTTCTGTTCAACTCAGATACTTTAAGTTAGAATGTAGTGTGTATGAATTTTTCTGTGATCATGATGTTGAAATGGATGCTGAGAGACTGTCATCCACACATACTAGATAGATTATGGAAAGCAATCAAAGAGCACGGGAATTTTTGGCGTTTTAGTATGATATTGATCATGGTTTTATATTCTGATCTTTCAAGACACCAGCTGGGATTCAGGGCACTACCCAACAGAATCGAGGCCCATGTGTCAGTACCTAGCGACGCCTCTGTTGTTGCTTAGGGCACATGGAAGGCTTTTGACACTTCTAGAATTCGTGGATTTGCACATGTTACAAGACACAGCACTTTGCTTACTGTGGCTAGGATGAAACTTGTTGCAGGTATCTTAGTGGATGATGTTTGTGCCCAAAGGTGATCCACATCCCTTTGTTTTCTAATGCCATTAAATACAAGAATACTCAGTCTTAGAAATTCTAAATCCCCGATCTTAACACACCTTACATGACACAAGCCTAAAAATAAACACTGATACACAGTAATTAAAAAATCAACAATAAAATGGTAATTCAGGCACTCAAACCTGTAAGCCAAACAGTTGTGTCACCTTCGCACAAAAAAACAACAAAAAAAACAGCACCATACATATACACGGAAAAAATACGACTTTCAACACAAGCTCGTCTTTTGCATGTTCTGCTAAACGTATCAGTCATTCTGTAATTTGTATGAAGTGTGGTAGTTTATACATTGTACAAATAAGCTGCCCGCTTGGTGATCGAACACATGAAGATCTAAACCATATTAAACTACAGAACCAGGGTATTCTTACAGGCAAACAATTAATTAACAATAAGCATATAATTGAGGACTTTTCGATTCTGGGATATACCTGCTCCAAAAGACATTCACCAAAGACAATCGCTAGAAAAGAAATTAATCTACATTCTGATAACCCTAGATCATTCTGGTTTAAATAAACGTTTTCCTTTCTTGTAGAGCCCCCATTGGCAAATCTGAGAACTCATGTCATTAAAAATAGGGTTTTGATACTCATGGCGGGCACAGCTCCGATAGTCCATTGTGTAGCTTTGCGCTTAACAACACACAGACTTTCTTGTAAAATTTCACTTTTTCAGTGAATTGTTTCCATTATAACGTTAATCTGTATTTTCTTACAAGTGGAAAAAATATTTAAAAAAATCAAAGTGTATAAATGGGGGCACCAAAAAAGTCAAGAAACAAGGTAGGAATGGGCATGGTTTAATAAAACTTCCTGTGTACAACCTCACAAGGGGACGTGTCCAAAATCATGTCCATCCATACTTCGTTTTTTTTTCTACATTGTATAAAATAAGACAGGTGGACTACACTTATCAAACTTAGTTATGTTTATCATTCAATGACTAGAGGCTTCTGTGAATCGAATTATTGGAGGCAATACATACTGCAAAGTCTGTTTATATGACACCACAAGAATCAGATATTCGTGTGGACCGATGATTTTTTTTTCTTTACAATTTGTCCCTCCCTTTGCAATTCCATGAGAAGGCAACAGGATTTCGTATGTAAGCTATATAGGTGGATTACAATACAAAGAAAAAAAATCGTGGAACGTTTCTGTGTATCGACGTCATGGATTCGGTATTGTCTATACAAAAGTAAAAGAATCATAGACACACTTTTGTATGTACCCATAAGTTGTATAATATCATGAACACAGAAAATCGAAGTAGGCATGGACCAGATGTTGGACACGCCCCCCTGTGAGGTTGTACAGAGGAAGTTTTATTTCGCCATACTCATTACTACTTTGTTTCCTCACTTTTTTGGTGCACCCGTTCCTACCCTTTCAATTTCTTTAAACTATTTTTTTTCCACTTGCACTTTTTTAATATAAGGTGGCATGATCTTACACATTATTCATTCATTTATGTTGATATCCTGTATGTATATCATCAATATGGATATACATCATAATATTATGGTATGTGCAAATAATGGTGTATGTTTGGTGTGCATTGTCTTCACTTATGGTGTGTGTACATTGTGAATGTGTATGTGTGCTGTAAGTATGATGTTACATACTCTATAGTGTGAAATGTCATTCGGGTGACGTAGTGTAAGTTATGGTTGTGTGCATATACCAAGGGTTGATAAATTAGTTAATTAATTCAATTTGATTAATATTACTTCACGCTAGCACTAGCATACGATCTTTGTTATTGTTCTATTTAGTGCACTTATAGCTAGGGTAAGTGTGTTTGTTACACAGCTAGAAGCGTTCAACAATGTCAGTCAGTCAGTGAGACTGAGAAATTTGTGACTGACTGCTGACTTTCTCAAGTGGTTCTATGACTTGTAATTTAGTATGTGGTTTGTTTATTACATAAGGGTGTCTCTCAAATACTTTTGAAGACGCCCCCATTGGCATTGCGGCATGTCTGTGGACTTACAACGCTAGGAAGCGGGTTTAGATATCCGTAGTGGGCAGAACACAGATAGCCCATTGTGTAGCTTTATGCTTAACTTCAAACAAGCAAACTTTTGAATTTATTATTCGGTTTTTAAAAGATGGATATGAGTTTCTAATTTATAATTAGAATCGGGTAGAGATCTGATATTAAAAAGATTCCTCGGACTTTGGGTCACTAGTGAGGTAATCGTAAATACGTTAAACATATGCGAATAAAAGTCTCTCGCAAGGCGTCATGGGAGGGTTTTTTTTTCGAATGACATTGAGAAATTGGCGGTTCTTTGAGACTGTAAAAATTACATGCCTTTGAATTTATACTGCAGTGTACGTGTGTTAGCTCTATTGACGTACTAGGGGTGGTGATAATAATATTGAGTTAGTACTATAATCAAGGAAAACATTTTGTAGGTCCATCGCAGATCTTGGTTACTACCAAATTTTGCTGATAATACTATTATTATAATAAGTGTAAGCTAATTACCGTAAATTAGTTTATATTAATAATCGAATTTTGATTATGCTTTTACTTTTAACATGATGATAAAATACAATTACATTAAAGTTTAAGTAGTAATTCCACTACCAGTAACACTAACAGTGAATAACGATAAGGGTATGGTATACTTATCACTGTTACTATCAGTATAACTTAGTATAAGCTCTACAAGTTACAACTAGTTGTAAGAGAGTTAACGCTTAAGCCTAAAATTAAAAAAAAAGTTTTCGTTGGTCCTACTATTACTAAATACTACAAACCCAAATACACTGGTTTCACAACACAGATCTAAACCAGATATATCGCCTTAGTATTTTTTATTAAGTATTATTTTATGTTATTATGCTGAAGTAAAGCTCAGAGGTCTTCATTGGTCCTAATGTTAATAAATACCACAAAGGAAACTTCATTCAAGATGGTTATAAATTATAATTTGTAATAATAATATACTAAACTTATTGACGATGACACTATTCTTCATATTTTACTTTTTAGTATTGTCTGCAGTAAAATAGCAGGCTTCCAGTGCCATTTTGCATAAGTTTTGCTTCAGTTTAATAAACCACTTAAAATAACATACTTTTTGTGGATTTTGGTGAATCATGCTACCCAAAATAACTGTTTAAGAATTGCTTTTCTATTATGATTGTTTTGAGACAATGTTTAGAAATCTAATTTTACTTGTGTAATAGCACAAGTTGGTTTGTAGATGTAAGAAACAAAAACTTATTGTTCATATTTTGTTTCTAAATATTACCTTGAGATCAATAGGTTCATCCCAGCCATGTTCCAAGATTGTATTTGGTTTTGATTCATGAATTAACATGTCACTTAGATCATTGGTATGGGCACAGCAGGCCATCCCACTGCAGTCAAGTTCACCTCCATTCATTTTGACTTTGTATTGCCACTGGAAAACATATGAAAAAGGCTGAGAGAGTAAGATAAAACTGTGCAAATCTTTCTGTAATAAAAATCACATGCAGGTGGGTGCCATTCCATCTTCTGAATTATAAATAGTCCTTCTGACTTATGGTGACCAGATTGTAGAAGAATGTTCCTAGCATGTTGGCACCAAACGTCCAAAAGATCATCCACCATCTTGTAGAATGTGCTTCCTGGATGTTTACACTTGACTTGTCATTGAAATTTAAATTGCTCTTAAGCTAAAAGTAAATAACACAGTGGTTAATACCTGTGTTATTTATGGTTGTCACAATAGGTCAGATTGTGGGAAATTAAAAGGTCATACCAAGCTGTTGAATGTATCGGGGAAATCCCAGATGTGTGATGTAAATATCTGGAAATGGAAATATTTGGCTGTCATACTTGATTATGACTAAAATTGTAACTTAAGTATTTTCATTTATCTTACAAGCTCTGAATATCCATAATCCAATGAATATTGAATAAATATTAGGTTTAATCATTTCTTTGGTATTTATAGTACAGACTGAAGTACCTTTATCGTTGTTACAAATATTAGTTTGTAAACAAAAGTATGTGTTTGTGTGTAATATTGTCTGCAATAGCATTTCTGCAGTGCTATTTTTGTATAATCTGATTTCTAAATTTACAACTTCTATTCAGTATACTCTTGAAAATTAAAAGGATTTCTATTCAAAATAAATTTGCCTCTTGCAAGCTCCAACATTCAAACCACTATAATGTTTATTTTATTGGTACTTACTGATGACTATACTCGCAAATATGTGTCCCAGGATAAAGTCTAGAAATAAAATATGATCAGTAGGAGATTTTGTATGTGACAAGTGGTAACCATTTTGAATGAAGTTTCCATTGTGGTATTTGGTAGGACTAATGAAGTAAAGTGTAATAATATGTAATAAATCATGTAAGTAATAATTTTCTTTCACACTTTCATTTGCATTCAGATCCCTTAATCTATATCTAAAATGATATATTTGGTTTTGATTTGGGTGAATTATACTACCCACTTGCTTGTTTATATAAGTTTGTTTCCTTCATGTTAAAATTCAAAGCACTTTTATGCATAGAATTGATGGAAGTGACACAATAACAGTATGCTGTTCTTAGTCTCTTGGCATGTAGGAGATTTGATGTAAAATTGTACTTAAAAGAAAACACAGTTTTTGTTTATACAAATATGCATTGTATATTAGCTATTGAACTTTTCTTTATGTTGCAGGACAAAAAAAGAACTTACGATGGCAAGAAAAGTAGCTGTGGTAAGTCACTTGCTGTACTTCTGTTCACAGAAAACATTTTAAAAATAAGTACCTGTATATAAAAGTAATAAAAAATACAAATGTGCAACTATGTATATCTAATTGTTTTGTGTGAAAAAATAAATATGAAATATAACTCTGAATTTTCAAAGATGTTTAATTGTATGTGCTTTATCAAAGCCAAATCTGGTAACTGTAAACCCACTGGAGTTCAAACTACACTTGCTACTTGTTTTTAAATGCATGATGTATAGTAATATATTGTCTAATAATCTGTTATGTGAGATGTACAGAAGATTGTATTTTGTGTAAATACATAAATTTGAGCCAAAACATAAGTACAATTCAATTTTTTTATTTACAATTATGATTAATGTCAGGATTTAGTCCATTGAGGTACAAAAGATATTAAACTATGGCTGTCACACACACACACACACACACATGAAGGTAATTCATGTGATTGATAAAGCTATGTTTGTTCATTATTTTTTGGATACTGTTTAATTTTACTGTTACATATTTATTCTGTTAGTAATTATTGCCAGTTTTTCTTGTAAACCTCCTTTTTGTAATAGTCAATAAGTAATTAGCAGTTGACTGCATGTTCTGAATTTAATTTTTTATACATATATTCGAATTCTATTACCAAAGCTGCTAACATGTGACTTGTAACAAATGTTGATAAACTGAATAATCAAAATGAGTCCTAAAGCTGAATAAAATCATGATCAAACACAGCATAACTTCTTTTGTTTGGGAGTTGTTTTCACTTTATGAAAGTCTATTAATTCAGAATTTCGGCTCATTTTTTACGTGTAACACAAATTCTATTGAATCATCTTCTCTAATTGGCATATTTTATTAGCTGATTTTAAGGATTTTAGATATAAACAAGTTCAATCTAGATCCTTTTTTCTACTTTTCTCTTAATTTGTCCAATGCGGCTCAAAATCAGTAGTGTTAAAAAAATAGCATTTCTGATCTACAAGTTACTGCCCAACAAGCTTTCTGTTCAATATCAGAATTGATCAGTTAGTTTCCAAATATCTCACTGGCTTTCAGCATTAAAACTGCAATAATCCCAGTGACATTTTTGTTTTAGTTTATTCTGATATGATATAACTATCCCTTGATAGTTGTTCCAGTTATCTAATGATTAATAATTTTTGTAATTTTTTACAATGTCTGATGATCTCCAGTGCACGCTAAAAAATAACAAAATGTGGAGTAATAAAAGATGTATGCTAAATTATATCATGGTGTATCTTTATAAAGTCCTATTATTGAGCTTGCCATGTGGTAATGGCAGTATTCAAGGTCTGAAATATTTAATTTCAAAATAAAATTAGTTTCAAAAATATTTTCCATCATAATATGAGTCCTTCACATAATTATAAAGAGTAGAAAAATGATGTTTTTCATTGTGTGGTGAATTTGTCATTGTCAATGTTATAAGGAATTGTCAGAAGTAACAACTAGGAGGGTGAATAGTAATACTAATAGTTTATCAACACACTGGTTATAAACTTTTGAAATAGTTTAGTTATCTATTTGTAAGTTACAATGGAAATGTAATTATCGTGTTTGCAATCAACACATTCAATAATTTTTACACATTTCTTTTTTACACTGTCTCTGAAGAATTAAATATTACTTTGTAATAGTTGGAAAACCTTTAAAATATTTCTTAAATACCCCATACTAGTATGAAATAACAGCATAATGACCCACAATAGGAGGGCTATAGATAATTTTTATACATTCTGTTGTCTGTGAACCGGGAAACAGCAGACACAACATAAACTCTGTTTTTAATTGCCACAGTTTATTCTGATATCACAAGGTATATGGTATAACAAGAAAAAAACTTTTCACTTATTACATTTAAGAATTTGAAAATGTATATTATACCATAGATCCAGTACAATATACTTGTAACTTATGCTTTTATGGTATACAGTTTTGCATTTTATCTTTTGTTATATAAGTCAACTACATTCACTTCATCAGTGGATTTAATTTGTTTCTTTTTAACCAAATTCTGGTTTCTAATTTACTTAAATTTAGATATATTCACTATGCATACAAACTAGTTATGTGAATGCAGAGCACCACAGTTCTTAACATTATTATGTCACAGGCTATTTCCTTGTAACTATATAGACAATCAGCAAGCCTATATGGATAATTTCCATTTCTTCAGTAATTCTTGTGTGGTATTAAAGTACACTAATATCAATATTTGCAAAATTCAAAATCCAGCACAGAAAGAAAGCATCTTAAAACACACACAGAACAAGGAAAGGATAGAAAAATGTAATTCCACACTTTCATGTCAGACCAAGATCCTAGTGCAGTATCCCACAATTTTAGATTACATATGTTAGTGACATGCAAACAGCATATAAGAGGAAGTAAATAATCTCGAAACTCATACTAATTTGTACAAGTATCCTTGAGCTGGGATTATACCACCTGATGGACAGTCAAACAGATAAAACTTCAGTTGGATATCTGTAGTTGGTAACCTTTATTTAAGCAATATGATTTGTGTATATTTAGAACCTTTGTACAAGTATCTTTGAGCTGGGATTATACCACCTGATGGACAGTCAAACAGATAAAACTTCAGTTGGATATCTGTAGTTGGTAACCTTTATTTAAGCAATATGATTTGTGTATATTTAGGACCTTTGTACATTCAGTATAAATTTTGCAAAACAAATTGAGAAAAATTACCCAAATATATCTGAATAAAGAAAATTTTCTGCACTAGTTATGAAATGTTAAAATGTGATTTTAATATCATTATACATAGAAGTCCTTGTCTCGTCAGTTGATCGCTTGTATACATTCAAGTGTGAGGATTTGATCAAAGCTATTAAAACTTTGGTCCACAGAATGGCTTGCTTGTCAGTCATTATGGTATTATCAAAACCTTTGATAATGTAAACATCCCTGGAGGGCTGCCACATATCATAAAGTCAAGAAACAATACCAGCAAACTAAAAGAGGTCTTAGTTAACATCCCTTACAGATAATAGCTGACAGATGATAAAATACCCTGCTGAATGGTCAATCACTAAAGATTAAAAATATTATTATACTACACCTAGTTTCTTGGATTATTGTTTCATTTAGCCTAAATGTAATAATCTGATAATAAATTAGTATAATTTTGATGCTTTTATCTTACTTAGAACTCTAATCTTTATGGCAATTACTCACATTTTTTATTAAAGGTCACAGGTGGAAACAAAGGAATTGGGTATGCTGTAGTTAAAGAATTGTGTCAAAAATTTAACGGAGATGTCATTTTGGCTGGTAAGTCTTATGCTAGAAAATAAAGTATCACAAATTTTTTTCATAGGTATAATGATAATTGTATTATGAATGACACAGGTATACACATAAAAACTATGCACCAATGAAAATATCTGTATTGCAGTTGCACGTTGTTTAAGTGCCTTTTTTTAATAAATCCGAAGTAGGATATTTTCACACCAAACTTTTTCTACGATAACCCAACTTTATTTTACCCAGTAGCTTAAGACATACGACATTATTAGTTCTTTGCAATCTTCTTATGTTTGAAGAGTACTAAAAACAAAGCAGAAGATAAAATAAAAATTATTTTAGCTTGTCAATTCTTTTTTCAAATTTTATTTATAAAGGGCTCAATTCATTATTTTTATTTTTAAATAATTGGTAACTTGTTGACATAATATCAAATGATTCTGATTAACTTGTTTTCTTGCCCACAAACTGCTACCAGTTGAACTGATTTATTGGTATATTTTTAAAAGAAATTGTATTGAATGTGCTCAAATATATTTCATGTTGATTTAAAAATCAAGTGAAATTGATATGAATTGGGTATTTTAATATTCAGTTTTTTATTGAATAGTTTGGTTTAGTATTATAAGTAAACGATGTGTAGAACAAAGTAGAAGAGGTTCTGTATTAAATATATATTATAATACAAGATGGTAGCTGAAAACTTGATTCTTAGCCACTTTGTTTTGAAACACACATCAGGGGTTTTCTTTTACGGTTTGTCATCTCTAGAAATTGTGAACACAAAAATATACCAAGAAACATTTTTAAACATTTGTCTCAAAATGGTATTAATAATTATTTAATCTTATAAAAATCATTGCTTTTAATTTTATTTTCAACTTCTTCTTGAATATCATTATTTTATAGTTAATTTAGGAAGATCATGAAAAATAATTTTATTTAAAATTACTAAATAATTCACTATTTATTTCATCCTATCATGATTTTTTCCAATCCTGATATCTTTTTTTTTTTACTGTAAAATTTTATCTGTACATGTATATCTTAACATTTAGAGATTTATCTTATAATCTATAGCAAGAGATGAAGCTCGTGGAAAGGATGCTGTCGAACAACTTAAAGCTTTAAACTTAAACCCAGTATATCATCAGCTTGATATTGATGATACCAGTAGTATAAGTCAACTGAAAGACTTTTTGCATAAAGAATATGGAGGTTTGGACATACTTGTCAATAATGCTGCAATTGCATACAAGGTACATGCTGATAAATAATGTTGTAACGTAATATGTGTACATATAAATATTAGTTTAAGAAATGAAGTAAATCAGATTATTAACTGCATTGCAAAAAAATTAAAGCAAAAATTTTATTTATATTGGAATTGTTTTGCAAGCTTTCCTGTTCTGAATAAACTGCTGTAGTATTGCTAAAAGTGTATAAAACATCCTTGACAATATGAAAATATTTAATAGACCATTAAAGAACTTGTAGTCCTTTATTGTATTGTTATATTATGCTTTTAACTCTCT